TTCCTTTCCTTCTTGCAGACTCCAATTACTTCACCAAGGTCTGTAAGCCTGGATAAGATCCTCGAGTTCCTCCTGTCGCTTGCTGATCAGGGCCTTTGCCACTCGTCTATTAGGGTCTATCTGGCAGCCATTTCTGCCTACCACATAGGATTGGACAGTTATTCGATATTCGCACATCCCATTTCGAAGAAGTTCTTTGAGGGCTCATGCGGTTGTATCCCCCTGTGAGGGCTCCGACACCGTTGTGGGATTTACCCTTGGTGCTCTGCCACCTCATGAGAAAGCTTTTGAACCTATGGCTTCCTGCAAACTTCAATACGTGGCATGGAAAACTGCGTTCTTGGTGGCAATCACATCAGCCAGGAGGGTCAGTGAACTGATGGCACTACGCCATGATCCTCCATACCTAGTCTTCCTGCCACATGGGGTACGTCTGCTGCCGGACATCTCCTTTCTACAGAAGATAGTGTCGGAATTTCATTTGAACTCCGAAATCTTCCTGCCTGACTTCTTCCCTCGCCCTGATGGGGAAGAAGAACGCCTTCTTCACACTCTCGATGTCAAGAGGGTGCTCCTCTTCTACCTGAATTTGGACTCAGTCTACTAGGAGAGATAATACTCTGTTCCTCTCATACTCCAACGCCTCACTGGGGTTGAGGATCTCAGCTCAGCGCTTGTCAAAGTGGATCGTTGGGACGATTAGGTTATGCTACCTGTTAGCGAAGTGTCCCCTCCCTGCACGCTTGACGGCGCATTCTACCAGGTCGATGGCAGCCTCCGCAGCTTTCATGAAGGGCGCATCGCTGCCACATGGTCCACGCCAACCACGTTCATTAAACATTACGCACTAGACGTTCGTGCGCAGCATAGGGTCGATCCGGGTTGTCTGGTCTTGTCCTCTGCGGAGCACTGAGCCTGACAGCGCCCACCTCCGGGTGAGCCACTTCTTTTCAATCTCCCATAGGTGTGATGCACAGAGACCACGAAGAAGATAAACAGGTTGTTTACCTGTAACTGATGATCTTCGAGTGGTCGTCTGTGCAGTCACACCGCCCGCCCGCCCTTCCCCACTGCTGTCATCCTCAGTCATTTTCCTCACATGGCTTTGGTTGATAGCGGTCAGAAGGAACTGGCAGGATGCCCACGCTCCACCCCTCTGGGCATGCGCAGTTGGGGTTCCCGCGCAGGCTCAGGGTGGAGGCGCGAAAATCCCGTTGTGAGCTTTGTACAACACCGATCAGATCAGCGTAGGCGCACTAGATCCCATAGGTGTGACTGCACAGATGACCACTCGAAGATCATCAGTTACAGCCTACAGGTAAGCAACCTGTTTATCCCCCCACACATAGTAGTAAAAATTTCTTTTGCATACAGCATTCAATCAGCCATGTGATACGAAATCTGTATGCACCCTTTGTGTTCTAGAACATTGTCAAATAGCAAGAGTCTATCAAGTTTCAGGATAGCACTGCAAACTTGCTTTTCTTTTCAGAAGGCCCGCTTTATTAATTTGTTGGTCTATTCAGACTTTACAATTACATTTATTAATTAAAAAACCCACACATGAGTAACTGACAAACTAACCAGTCCTAAGAAAGTAAATCATTACCAGTGCTATCCTAAAGAGTTACACCCTTCTTAGCCCTTCAGTGGATTTAGAAGGGTTTGTAACTCTGTTTTGGATTGCACCAGGGCTTACTTCTGAATACACGTTTAGGATCATGCTACAGGATTTCTTTAATTGACACAACAATCCTAATTTTCCCTCTTGACAAATGCTTTGCTTAAAATCACTGATCTTGGTTCTTGCACTAAAGTGAATTGGTATGATAAAATTTATAAATATGCTCGGTTAAAAATACCAGCAGTGGATTAAACAGAGACTCTGATTTCTAGAACCATTCACAAGCAGTTTTCTCTGATCAAAACTATAAACATGTGTTTTACCTTCCTTGTTGAACATACATTATCTACTCAAATGCCAACTGTAAAATCTTAAATCTTGATATGCTGTAGCTGAGAAATGTTCCATTCCGTGTCATCTGACAGCTTGCTATCACTACTAAAGGATCTAATAAATTAGATCCTCACCTCTGATCTGCATTTTTTACACTGCAGTTCCATGCAGTTTCTCCATTAAAATAAATGGGCTTAAAATGGAGTAACTTTGCAGAGGATCTCATTTTGTCTCTTCAGCACCAAAATATTTGATTATGTCTTGTGTCTTGCATAAACACTGTGGATTTTCAAATGGACAGTTATTGATATGAGACTGCATACAACTAGACAGTAATATATACCGCAATAAACTCGTATTTAATAGCTCTCATATTTAATAGCTCCAATAAACATACACTTAAAGCAAACTATTTGAATAGTGCAGTAGGGCTTCTAACCAGTGGGGTTTTATTTCTTTTCTTTTTGGGGGTCAGTGATGACATTTCAGTTTTCTTTTTATAGCTTCTTAATGTAAAGTATAACAACTGAACATATTCAGGCCTGGATTTTGCTGCCCCCCCCCCCCAAAAAAAAGGTTTCCACATTATCATAAAAGGAGGTTTTTGTGGTCAGCTAACAACAAAAAAAGTATTAATTACAAAAACCCCTGAACACGTCAATTACATTTGTATAGAACTGGATGGACCAAGTCTGGCAGACCACTAAGCAGTTAAAGGTTAAGTCAGACTGTTTGCTTGAGAGACAGCAGGCAACAAAATCCAGTGGTTTTTAACCTTTAATCCACTACTCATGAAGTATGCAACATTATCTTTGAATAACCCGAGTCACATGAAAAGCAACTGACACATAAAGATACCAATTCAGACACCTATGTGAACATTCCCACGGTAAGGATCAAAAAGTCCCCCCCCGGGGGGGCACCCAAGGAACAGGGGCCATTTCCTACAAACCTGGTGAAGCTCCAGGTTTGCAGAAAAACCAGACAACTAAAAAGAGAGGAGTATTTTCAAAAACTCCAAACTGCGATTTACAGAGAAAACAAGATCTCACAACACTACATCACGAGAGCTCAGCTGCTGTGTCAGGGTTGCGTTCTTGTAACCCTGATAAATGTTGCTGAAAGCTATGGGAAGAAAGCAGCGGGGTGGGGGGCCAGTAGCAGCAGAAGGGTGGAGATGGTGGGAGGGAACAGCAGGTTGGGAGGGGGCAGATGGTAGTGGGGGGGAAGGGAATGTGAGGGTAGGAGGTGTTGGGGAAGGAAGAGGCAGTGGGCAGGAAGGCAGAGAAAGAAGGAATGAGGTTCCCATCTGTACCAGCACATTTATGACATATGCAGATAAAGTGCCAACTTCTATTTGAATTCAGTTGCCACATTCTGTATCTAGACCCTGTTTCTACCTTCATTTTTTTGTGGCTTTTACAGTGCCTCCACACTGTTGTTTTCTGCCTGGAAGCTCATTTCCCATTTCTTAGTCTCAAGGCAGAAGGCGGGAAGGACGGGGTATAAATCGAACTAATAAATAAGTAAATAACATTTTGATGCTTTTTTGTCCCACTGGGCAGGGAGGGGCCACTCCTGTTTGAGTCCTGCTGGTTGTGTGCCACTATTTTTAAGGACCTATGGGGGGAAAGGAAGTCTAGGATCTTGGCTTTTATACTCAGAGTTGCAGGGTTGCCAGGTTCCTCGCCCTCTCTGGCCACTGGTGGGGGATGTAGGGTGGCCAGATTTAGGTTAGGAAACTCCTGGAGATTTGGGGGTGGAGCCTGGAGAGGGCAGGGACCTCAGCAGGCCTGTAGCTACAGGGGGGCATCTCGGGGCCTGGCCCCCTGACTTATTTATTTATAATCAAATTCAGAGGTCATTTCGGGGGGGATCGCAGTTCCCCCGGGTGAGGTGCAGGGGGCGGGGCACATGACGAAGCCCCGCCCCCTGCTTTCGGTCGCCCCACTTCCGGCCCTCATTCAGCCAGGAGGAGGCAGGAGAAGAGGGAGGGAAAGTTGCTTCCTCCCCGC